CAGTAATTTCATCGTGTTCCATCTCACTAGCTAGTTTGTTTCAAAAATATTTAGATGAGCATTACAAGTTTGTTTAAGAAAAAGATTGATTTGGTTTAATTTCATGTTTGGTTTATATTGAACACTTTTGAGTTATAATTTTCTAACATCACCCGAATATTCTAACATCTATTTGACTATTCATATAAATTGAATGGTCTGTTAATTGAAATATGATATTTGGGTGATGTTAGAAAAATGACTTGTCTGTTAATTGAAATATAAATTATATTGAAAACTAAAAGGCTCCATCGTGGTCGTGGAGAAGCTGAGACTGAGAGCAACACGTTCTTACGTTTGCTGAGCACGTGACTTGTAAAAGCTATTGAAATATAAACATACATTCACCGGGTACGTTGTGTGTGTGTGCCCCATGCTATGGTGGTTTAGTGAGATGGAAATCATATCTGAACTAGGCGGGGGACATATAACACTGTGACTACATGAGAAAAAAGAATCATTTCGTGTATTCAAACTTTATTTTTTGATAAAATTAAATATTCATAAATTTATTTCCTAAGAGAGAAAAAGTTTCATTTCGTGTATTCAAACTTTATGTCCTAATTAAGTGAAGCTGCTAATGACGACCGAATTAAGAATATACATATACTCAACTACAGAAAGCATCGGACCATAAATTTTCCTTCTTTTATGCATGCAAAGAAACCAGAAACGAAAAATCGACACCTAACCTAACGGTCCTTTCCGTAAGATTTTGCATCAGTCCTTTATAAAAGAAAATTGCATCAGTCCTTCAAATCTTTTTAAACAAATATACATTATATACTAAAAAAAATTACAGAAAATATTTTAAACCAGAACGAAAATAGTTTTTGAATTATTAGATTTGCAATCGAATCTATAGGGACTAGTTTCAAACTAAAAATAAAAAATGAACAAGATAAATAATATATTCATGCCTAATCCTTATCTACAACTACATGGTACGTAAACTCGCACTTCGCACACATGTTTCTTTCACACGATTTAACAAAGTTGTATTGGTTTGGTGCTACCAAATTACTGATTATTGGCATAAAATATGTTAATGCTGTTTTATTCACTAACCTTTTTAGCTAAGGGTATTCTTATGGTGCCTTTCTACACAACATTTTAGTCTCTAAGTAAGTATTTAAATATGACCAAGATATTACTTTGTACATTTTTTGATTTTTTTACCATATAATTTTGACTCTAGTTATATTAGTATTATATCTTAAATGTTTGGTTTGTGTCTGACATTTTAACATCTTCTGCTACCTTTATGTGGAACACCAATCTCCAGATAAAGTTCAGAAAGTAGTGCAACTTTCTTATCAGTATTTTACCATATAATTTGGAATTATACATGTCTACTATAATATGAATTAATGTCCACGACATACGCATAAACTACGTTTTTCTATATCTACTAAACTCAAATTGGGTATGGCTTATGAGGATATGATTAAACATTAAAAAAAGCATTAGGTTGGGTTGCCAGCAGTGGAATCAATGAGTCCTCCAAATGTTTCTAAGAGTCATGACAGAAGGAAGTTTAGACAGAGTGAGAGGCAATAAAGGGCTATTTCAAATGTAAGCGAGTGTCAAAATAGATCGTTCGTGCTGCTTCATAGTAAATTAGTTTTCAATCTCGAAAAATAATTACAACTTAGAAAGCTATTATTGTCATTGGATTAATTAAAAACTTTTCTATAATGTTTAAACATGAGTAGCAAATCATTTATTAGATAAGAGGAAGAATCAATGGAAATAAAACATAACATTCAGTGATGTACACAAACAATATGTAGCCACTAAAGAG